TTGTCACTTCGAGGGGTAAAAAGTATAACTATTGCACTGTGTTGTACAGCTGAAACTAATTCTAAAAAATGTGTGTTTCATAATAAAAATAATTTAATTAACAAAAAGAAAAGAAAAGCAAACAGAATAAAAAACTATGAGATGCAGTTAAGATTTATAAATGAGTTTGTTAGGTACAAAGTCTAATTAAAAACCCATGTTGTTGTTTTTTTAATACCAGAAATAACAAAACGGGAAACAAAACCAAAATAAAAGACTGTTTAAATGGCAACAAAGATTATAAAGTAACCAGAAATTAACCTAATAAAGAATGCACATGGCTTTTATGAAGACAAAGCAAATATCTTGAGTAAACAACATAAAAGAACACCTGAATAAATAGAAAGCCACCCCATTGGTCTTGGATGAATCAGCTTATTATTAAGATGTCTTTTTCCCCCTCAATTAATCTTTAAAGACATTGCACTGCAAATAAAATATCAGCAAGATATTCTGGACAAACTGACAAATTGATCTAAAACTTATTGGCCACGAATAGCTAAACACGTTTGAAAAGAAAGAACAAAGAAGCAGGACTCATCAGTTTGGAAGTCAAACCACTGGACCTTGAGACCTGGCTCCGCTTTCCTGTTTATATGTCTTCAGGCAAATTGTTCAACCTTCCTAAGTCCTGATTTTCTCATATATACCATGAGGGTAATAATACTACCTTCCTCAGAGGACTAATGTGAGGATTAAATATGTATGCAAAATAATGTACGCAAAGTGCCTGAAATGCAGTGAGCACTCAGTAAATTTAAGCAATTGTTATATTACTATATAAAAACAAAACAAAAAAACCCCACAAAACTTCAGGTTCTTTAAAATAGACTTTTTGAAGAAAATGACCATTTATGATAACATTAGTGATTCTTAGGGGTGAGATATATAGGACAAACGAAGTATTTATAGCTCGAGATAATCATCTTTGAGTGTTTATTTTTCCCTTTTTGATACCTGGGTTTAAGAGGTGGGAGATATAGCAAAAGTTCCATCTGTGCAGCTTCTTTCTAGCTGTGATGACCCTATTTTACTGCCATAAGTTAATGTAACTTAGGAGGCTCTGTCAACTCAGAACTGTTGAAGTCCAACAGCATTCTAGGCAAAAGCCAGAGAAGAAAGCTACCAGAATACTGGCCAGTAGCAGCTTAGCAAACTCAAAGTGGGCCATAAGCTAGAATGGCTACAGGCACTGGGTCCCCTGGGAAGGACACACCAGAAGCTTGGTGCCTGGAGAGGGACACCCATGGCGAGGCCAGTAGGTAGGCTGAACAGACAAAAAGACTCAGATACAGGATGTAGGGAGCTCAGATACTGGATACAGCAAGCAGTACAGATGGCGGTAGGCTGCAAGGCACAGCCAAATGTGTGTGGTGGGTTTGGACAGTGAGTCAGGTGGGAGACTCCTTGGATTAAGGCCTGACATGCTGTAGACAGAGGAAAGACCCATGGCAAGTATCATGGGACAGACACAGAAGAGCTTACAATGGTCTAGATGAAAGACAAGATTCTAACCGGAAGCCAAAGGCCAAGCTGTTGTACATTTCATAGCACTGTGTAGGCCTCTTCAGATTTTGGAACATACAACGTTCTACATGCTACACATGTTCCTACCAGTTTGTCAAATGACTTGATAGACTGCCAGCTTTAAGTAGGATCAAGAGCAATAGAGGGCTCTGCAGCTGGTTCAAGCTTTGGTACATGGGACTATACTCATTGAGTCACCTAAATTGGCAGAACCCACTTGGTGCTGGAAGTATCCATGGTCTACTGGGAA